GTCGTCCATTGCCTGATGGATCCAGTCGTCGGCTGCCGCCAACAGTGAGCCCACCCGGCAACGACAAGCCTGATCGTCCACGGTGAACTTCATCAGTTCGAGGTGATGGGAGCTGCGCAGCGAATGAGCCCGAATAAAACAGCCGGAAAGCTCCCAACTGACATCCGCGAGCATCACGGAGGCAACTCCCAAGGATCGCCCTCTGGTTGTTTCCATTTCCACCTCCGTCAAATGCAGGACAGCGGCCTCGCCGCCTGCACTCAGCTCTAACTCCTGCTCTTGGAAAAAATGGACCACGTCCTCGATGTCGGGCACTGCTACCATGAATCCTCCATTTCTCACACGCACCAAGGTGCCTTGTGCTCTCAAAACTGTGCCTTGAAGGGAGCTTCAGGAACAGACTTGGCAATGCGCCGCCTGGCGCACGGGCCCTGTGCAGGCCCTCAGAGCCTCCTCTGTTAGTCCAGCCGCTGCAGAAGCCGCGGCCATACCCTCTCGGCTCCCAAGCAGTAAGCCTCGCCCTCTGCTCTCGAAGCGAAGCCGTGGCCCACAGCGTCAGCGTGCACCCGCCCAGTCTTCCCGTAAACCGAAGCCCGGAAAGTAGGGTAATGATCAGTCCAGCCGGCTGGCTTGTCAGCAACCCCCCTCAGCACCACGAAGACCTTGTTGGCTAAAGGGATAGCAGGCAGCTCAACCTCAGGTGCGGGTCTGAAGCCCAACTGGTAGCGAGCCACCAAACCACACTTGAGCGCTCGCTCAATGCGAGCAGCTGGCGACCAAGCCCCGGGCGAAGAGCGCAACCGGGAAAGCAGACGCCGAGCCCCTGAAAGATCCAAATTCTCAAAGTCCTCAGGGGTGACCGCTGCTAGCAACGCAGCTTCCCAAGCAGCACTTCCGAAAGGCCTTTGCACAGGCTGCTCCACCAAGGTAGAACTGGTGGCTCCCAGATCGCGCAACTCGCTGATCTGCGAGTCCAAGGGCCCAGCTGGGCCAGCAAGGGCACCCGAGGTGGGGGACCCTACAACTGCAAATGAACCCAGACTGGCTGCCTCGTCCTGTCCTTCGTCACTGTATCCGTCTCGAGCGATCCGAATCCTCAGGCCAGCGAACGACAAAGTCACCTCGTCCAATCCAGCCGGATCGCTCATGCACTGGTGTCTCTGTATTGGCTAAGCCGCCGCCGTGCCAGCTGTTCGTGAGCTCCAGGTTGGGGAGGAAGCCAGGTAGACAGGGCCAGTGACCCCAACAGCTGAACACCGCGCCGACACCCCGGCGAGCAAACACAGCTTGCAGCTAAGGCCCCAAGGCAGCAGCCTCCACAAAACACCAAGGCCAGCGCGAGGCAGATCCAGCCCCAAGGACAGGAGCAAACAGCACCTGTCGGCCAAATGAAGCGCAGCTCGCGGACCAGTTCCACGACTGCGCTCCACTGCATACGCTCTTTGAGCCCAAAGAGCTTGAGCGATCGATTGCTAATGCTTCACATGATAGGTAAACATATACAGTATGTAATCTTTAAAAGGCATCTTGGTCTTCCGACTCTCTTCTGTTTGCCAGGCCAAGGCCCGCCGCTCAGCGTCTTGGATTCGCTGCAATGCTAACCTCAGTTGAAACGCACATCTTACTTTATAACTTCAATGTGTTGATGTTTTGTGTGACCCACTACCAACGTGGTGTGTTGCTTTTACGTTTGTTGCTTGCTCGAAAAGAAAAGGAATTCACCTCTCTGCTTCTTCCGAAGCTCGACGTGCAGCAGCAGCCTCCCAGAAGGCAGCGTCAGCCCAAACTGATTCCACCACGCGTGCCCCTTTGCCATGCCCCAAATGACAGCACACTGAATGATTTGCAATGTGATATAATTTAAGTTGTAGTGCTGCTTTCAAGCAGCATGTTCCTTCAACCCGCCTCATCAGCACGCCCGCGCGAGATGCGCCCTGCAAATACCTGAATTGCAAGCCCCTCATTGGAGAAGGGTGCTGGTGCAAGGCAGCAGGGCAGGACAAGAGTGAGCGACATTCTGCATTAACGCTTATTGCTTAAGAAGTTCAAGTTGAAATTGATCTAATATAGATATATAAATGATCCAGGTGTGAATTTCAGGTAGGAGCTGGGGGCCAGATTTTATAGAAAGAACCAGGTTGGAGTGGATATTTACAAACTATAGAATCCTTAAAACAACATACCTAGATAAGTGGCCATTCTATAAAATTTGGTGGCACAGGTACCCTGCGACACTGTTCCCATTTCTTTTTAGATTTTATAGTGCTATAAAATCCAATCTCAAACAGGGGAACACAGAATCAAACAGAAAAAAGTGGAACCCGTGCTACCTCGACAGCACTGTTTCTAATAGAAAATAATGATTGAACAAATGGGTTTTGGCAGCTCTCGAGAAGGAACCTGTGCCACCTGAGAAGTTTTTCCCAAGTAATCTGAAATTCAAAGTCATCATCAATATTCATCCAAGCAAAGTAACTATCAATGTTGTTGCGTTTGTTTTCTTGATTTTCTTCCGGAGCTTCCGGATTTGATTTTATTTCTGACATTTGTTGTTTGTATTATTTTGCTATATATTGATTTGGCTCAGATAGTTTTCTATTGTTTTCTTGCGCTTTCATTAGGGCCTGACAGCAGCAGTTTTGGACGAAGCAAATAAACTATTCAAAATCCAGCAGCCATCCTTCCTCTCTATAGAATCTAGTTTTCAACTCCACAAACCACTTCTGCTTTCTATAGAATTCTGGATCCTGTGTTTAAGAACCAATATATATATTCTATAAAATGAGTCTTTTATAAAATTCCTATTCCAGCCTTTTCAGGCAAGGCTCTTTCTATAGATTCAGTTGCCAGGTTGCTTTGACAAAGCTGATTTCTCTATAAAATATGATCCCAGGTTGCAAAAGTGTTTCCAAAAAAAAACTGAACACAGGTCTGGCCGATGCTAAAAAAGTCAGTCTTGCTGATTATTTATTGAATTTTTACTGTTTGATTTTATAGTAAAAAACGGGTTCTTTTCTCTATAGAATCCCCCATGACTTCTGAACAACGACTCCCCTGATTTTATAGAGGATTTACCCATGGGGATGATAGATGTCAAACTATATAGTTGCCTAAACGTCTTCACAGGCCTGTGAGAAATGACACGACATGGTTTTTTTTGCCCATGGTTCCAAGGATTCTGCACATTTCATGCCGGCATCACGGCCCAGGTAGGTATCTTTTACCCGGCACGTGTTGGATGCTGATTGGGTATATTAATTACACTGGACAGAGACGTAATAGAAGCAAACATCCACAGCAGCAAAATGTTCCTTTAATGGTTCAGCTTGAATCTCAAAAAGTTGAACATATTGACAAGAGCATGTCAATATGTGTACAGTTTATGGGACGGCGATGGATCACCATATGTGCATGGAGGGCTTTGCATGCGCTCTTGGAGGGCGTTGGATGCTGCGTGGAAGGTTCTGCAACAGTCAGTTTCTTCCACAACAAACACATAAAAAAGAACGAGCCCGGGATTGTTCCACGACGAGCGGTGTCTTGAAGTTAAGAGTGTGCCAACGGCTGTGGCGCCGAAACCTGAAGGTTACCTGCTGAGATAGCTGCTGCCCGCAAACTGCACTAAAGAAAATGTGCGTTGTGCAGCTGAGGTGGGGTGCAGGATGTCGAACTCAGTAGCTTCGGGCAACCCCACTCTAATCAGAATTCCACTGTGTGCTATACTGCCGTCCACAAGGTCTGAGGGACATGGTACCCAGTACCCATATAGTTGTCACATCACCAATGAACTGACTGAGGCAGCATCCTCAAGCTCCTTCTGCCAGTCCCAACTACCTTGGGACAATAAACCCTTGGGTCCAACAGCTCTGTGGACCGCAAGTCGCACTGAATGCCCTCACTCACAAGGCTTTCAAGTTGGGATTTTGCATGGCCCAACAGGTGAACTGGGCGGGAGCAAGCTACTAGCTACTAAGTTACTACATATGGACGCAGGATAGCTCACGCCCTCAGGCGGGGGGAGCTTCCTTGAAGAAGCGCTCGCACTAATGATTTGGTTCCTAGATATTTTAGGGTCACTTAGAGCTGCTACGACTAAGTTCATGGCACACGCTTCCTGTTGCAGCTGCACCGGGAGCCTTGCAAGGCAATTATATAGTTCAACGACGTCGGTAGCGAAAAACAACTCATAGGACACATCTTCCGCCCTACTCTTTGGTACTTGCAATGCTGGTGAGATGTTCTGCAATACGGCTTTGAGCGGACACCAAGACACCTCCATCCCTCCATCAAGTGACAACTATTCTACCCATCTAGACGCATGAATGGCATGAATGGTGCTGTGAAATGTTGTATGGAGCACGGAATGAAGTTAGCTTGCGGTGGGTGGGTTGCACTGTTACACAGCACTCACAAAGGTTCATACACAGATGTCTGCTCTGATTGGCTTGTTGTGGTTGTTGACCGTTTCCTCTGCCTCCGCCGGCTGAGACAAAGAAGCAAAAACATTGCAAAGAACAAATCACCGCTGTTGATTTCTATGGATGGCCAACTAGTTACTTGGATCTTTCTACACCTCTGGTCACCTCTCTGGCAAACTTGTATAAAAGCTTTCTTTTGGTGCCAATCACATACTCTTCACATCAGAGAAAGGGAAGAAATGTCGTCTGCAATATTCTGAAAGTTGACCTTGTCTTCAGCATATCACAGAAGCTCCCTGGGCGCATGCTTTCGCACCTTGACACGCTCTGGTCTGTCGGGTCGCCATTGGACCACAGCAATCTCAGCCAGAGATCTGTCTCCAGGACATTGTCACATGTTCGACTTTGTTCAAACAGCTTTTGTTCAACGCCGTAGCAGCTTCCAAGACTCAGAAACATGTTTGCTGTTAACTCTTGACATCTTTATTTTAACCTGACTTGGAAACAGCCCTTCTACCAAGGCAAGGCCCATTACGGCCCATGCCCCTATGCACAAAGCCTTTTCGGGCTTGCAACAGAGCGTCACACGTGGTGGCCCTTTAGAAACTTAACTATCCTGAGGCGCTCGGTGGAGTACTCCATGTGTTTGTCAATAGTAGCTTCTTGTTGCTAGTAGTAATGGCCTCCAACCTTGTAGCGATGGCCTCCAACCCACTAGCTTCTAGCTACTAAACAAAACATTCGACTTCTGCCTCTTCTTCATTTCCGGATCCCCTTGACACTCGTCCATTCGCAAGGCTTTCTGCGTGATCGGACAGACCTCAAGTGATGTCCAAAAAATGTGGAAGCCAAACATGGCTAATGGGAACTGTAGAGAAATGAGTGCAAGACGGATCCACAGTTGGCGAACCACTTCTCTAGGGTCTTCTTTTCAAAGAAGTGCCCATAAGGAGATTGAACCTAAGAAGAGTCCATCGTTGGCCAACTTGGCAGTTGTGGAGACAAGTTCTTCCGGCAGGAGACAGGGTTTCATTGCTCAATGAAGGAAAGCCTCTCCGGCGGAGAGGCCGCTGAGATGTGAACTGGATTCACCATGACCTTTCCGTCTATTGCACACCTCATGTCCTGCAGTACTCGCAAGTTGACAACAAAAATGATTCAATCGAAGCATGAACTTCTGAATAGTCAGTTGCCTCTGGACACTCGACCACAGATCTGGATTCGATCCGGATTTTGTGCTTCTCCTGCTGCAATGCCAAGAACTGCCAACTACAATCAAGTTCCTAAGAAAAGAATTGAGCAGGAATATGACGCAAGGCTTTGTATCAATCAAAATTAGAATCAAGTCCCAAAAAGGCAGCGGCATAGGAATAAACAAAGCCATGTGGCATGCGCATCCTTCAATTTGAGACCGGCCGACATTGGAAAATAGCGGCAAACAGTTCAAACCTCGCTTATCTGCACTCAGCGTCACCGACCTTCTTCTCAGTTTTTGAATCTTGCTTCACCAATGAAGGCAAATCCTAAGCGCAGAACACATGCACCTGACCGCAATGCAAGTCTCCAGGTTGCCAACCCCAAGCAAAGATGGGCCAGTCTGGACCTGAGCTGGATAAGCCCACTCGTGCGTTCTATTGCTGTACACGATCCTTTGCCGAGACATTATCAAAAGGTTGTATACCTCAAGTACATACTCAGCAACATTTAGATACTGTGCACCTTGAATAATCATGCTGAAAGCATTTAAATCAGTTCCCTTCGAGACATACTTGGAAAAATGAGAGACACAAGCAAAAGAAATTCCATGTTTGTTCAAGGTATACAGTTGCTCCAGGAATCTCCATACCATTTTCACAAGCCAGCTGGGATCCTCAGTTTCGGGCCGGCTTGGTGGGGGGTGGTGCTGGCCCCGACGATGTAACTTCTTCCACAGGAGCCTCACAAGTGTGGTAACAAGAAGAAAGCAAACGGAACCCGACAAATGGACGTCCCGATCCTCCTCCTTGGGTCTATCCACAACTTCCGGTGCAACTTGAGACACTGAGAGCATCTGCATCTGAAAGCCCTGCACAAAAAGTGCTTGTTCAGCGGTTCAAAGGCTTGGGGTAGTGTTTTGTATCCTTGCCTGGATGAAGTTTGCGATGTCTTGTCTATCCATGACATCATCCATAGCCTTGGTTGTCTTTATGTTTAAACATCTCTCTTCCTCCATTCCGTTGTCCGTTTGTCATCTGGGTGTGAAGCCAGGGGGGCACCAGTCAAGGGGTTCGAGCCATGTTGGCTCATCCAATCCTGTAAATTTGACCAGTAGAAAAACTGACACTATATTACTCTGACCACAGATTCAACAAAGAACAGCAGCCTGCCTCTATTGCAGCCCTTTCGAAAAGATATCCGTCTGGTGTGCTCACAGGATCGTGCATCAAAGCACCTCAAACTATGATGGTGCTGCACAGCGCACGGAAGGCGTTGCTCACCAAAACAGCCAAAATCACATTATCAGGTAGGCCCAATTCAACGGTTCCGGTTCCAAAACGACATGAGATGTTTGGTGAACAGCTTGAGTTCCCCTTGCCCATCCCCAATCAACAACAGACTGCAGCAAGTCTGGCAAGTCTTAGGAAAAACATCGGAGCTGGGCTCTCAGCCGCTGAGTTGACACACCGCTTTCTGCGGCACACCAGCCTGTAAAGAAATGTGTCTAAAGAGTGTACGGGTTCTTACGGTAGGGGTTGAGGCCGGGTGTCTGATGGGAGGTCTCGCATCCGTACGCGGCTAATTTGCTGCTATTTTCAGTGCACTCACTCACCTCGGAATCAAAGTGCATTTCGACTGCGCAGACTCGCAAAATCTGGTAGGCCCGAGAGGGTGCTCTTCAAGACTCCACTCTTGTTGTGGTGCCGTGCGCATGATTGAACTTGGTGATTTTTCGTGGCAAGCGCACGGGAAACCTCGTGCTTTGGTGGTCCAAAGTCAACTTTTCGTGACAGGTGCAAGTGGTCTTCGGCGTGCTCTGATTTCGTGGCAAGTGCAGTGAATTGTGACTTTGGACATGTGGTTCGTTTTCATAAGTGGGAAGAAGTCTCGGGCGAAAGGTGGGTTTTGGCATCTTGATGTTGTCTGTTGTCTTTGCAATCTTTGGAAGTGCTCTTGCTGCGAGCAAGGCTGTGCGATGTGAATCTTGATGTGCAGGTTTCGTATCGTGGCAGGTGCAGCACTTTGTGGCAGGAACAGTATTTTGTGGACCTGGCGGTGCTTTTTCGGGGCAGGTGGAACACTTTGAAGTGTGGATTTCGCGGCAGGCGCAACTTTGTGGACCTGGAGGTGGCAGGCACAATGCTTGTGGACCTTGAAGACTTCGTGGCAGGCACAGAACTTTGTGGACCTTGAAGTGCAGATTTCGTGGCAGGCGCAGCTTTCATATGTGCGCTCTGTGTGCTCTCACGTGGGCGCTTCTACATGTCCTTTGCTATGTGTGTTCTCTAGACCTCCGGCCTCTCTCTCTCTCTCTCAGTCTAGACTTAGAGATCTGGACCTGGACCTTCCATCTAAACCTGGCTTGTGAACCATCACCACCACCATCACCACCATCACCACCCACCAGCCACCATCACCACAATCCTCCACCTCCACCTCCACCTCCACCTCCACCTTCACCACCACCATCATCATCCTCATCATCATCATCATCATCACCACCACCACCACCACCACCACCAGCACCAGCACCACCGCCATCACCACCACCATCACCACCACCACTACCATCACCACGACCACCATCATCACTACCATCACAACCATAGCCACAACACCACCATCACCAACATCACCATTACCACCATCATCACCACCTCCAGACCTTAGACCTTTAGACCCGTCTAATACACTGCCCGCTCCCCCCCAAAAAGGGAGAAGCTCGCTACTAGCTACTTGTTAGCTACTACCTATTGGACGCAGAATAGCTCACCCTAATGATTTGGTTCCTAGACTTTTAGGGACACTTCACTCAGATTGGTTAGGTAGAGCAAAGTCTGATGTCAGAAATCCATACACTTGTTCAGAGGTTCCAGCTGCATCCCTCACCTCATCTGCGACACCCAAGTGGCTTTCCCAACCACCATCTGCTGGGATCTCAGAGCAGCAAGTCTTTCGCTAGACAAGTTGGATCTGTGACAGATCTGTTGGATCCGTGAATCTGTGCTTAGACTTTGCACCAAAGGCATGTGAAGAAGCTCCAGAGTGGCGTACCAGCGGTGGCATGTCATCCTCGTCGGACTCCTGCAAAGCCATAACTCTGGCTGGAACGATGAGAATAACTCCAGTGACTCTCCTGCACAACAATTCCTGGAGCCCCTAGTAGCGTCCTTGCTCCTAGTAGCGATGCCAGGAGCCCCTAGTAGCTTCTTGTTCCTAGTAGTAAGGCCAGGAGCCCCTAGTAGCGTCCTTGCTCCTAGCCCTCAAGCAAACTCTTTCAACAGGTGGAAGGCTTTCCAAGGACCATGCCCAAACGGGAATGTTGTTTGTCGGAAAAATGGGGTTTGCCTGTTTGCCTCTTACATTCATTGGCAAAAAAACCTACAGAATCTTAAAGAGATAAGAGGAGGAGAGATTGTTGTTCAAGCCCCTGGCGAAGCAGCCCAGGATCTCCAGCTCTTTGTAAGATTGTGGGTGGCGCCGTTCAGCACAATCCAGGCTTGTTCAAGTTTGTGGCTACATGCACAATCACAGCTCATCGATGTTGTGCTAGTGCAGCTTGGGAAAGGGAGCAGGGTCATCGCGCGCAAGTCTCCACTCTGCAGCAGCTGGCAATCACTGCTGACAAGCAAGCTACATGAAACCGCTAGCATACGTGGCACAAACATTCCTTATTGTGGATTGGAACGTGCTCAAGACTTCCAAAAAGCACCATCCAGCTCCCTCACTACTGCCAGTGGCCCCTCGCAAGCAAGTGACTTCTTGCCCTTGGCTCAAACTTTCAGCGTAAAGGGGTGGATCTACAAAAGAGTTTGTGCTTCGCTTTGGTTTCATAAAGCTTCACATCCACGTGTGCTCACCATAGGAGTTTCTCTGTTTGAGACATACTGTCCATGTCTACCCTACGCACGCTGTCCTTATGAAAGTAATGCAAGAGTGAGACAGCCCGCCTCCTCATCACCCTGCTCATCGTCTGCCTCAGGTTCCTCGTCGTTTTGATGAGACGCCTTGCGAACGAGAGGGCGAACATAAGGCTGCAATCCAAAAATAGTCTTTCAATAGATCTGAGTAGATCTGACGGAAAGCCTGCATGGCAAAGAGCTTCTTTCTTCTTCTCTGCTTGCCATGCCGCCACTTGCCCTTTCGGCGGGTATGTTTCACCGCCGCTGCTGCTGCTTCTGGTGGCGCCTGGACCAAATCTCTCGAGCGTCGTCACATGTCTTACCATACCATAGAGGAGCTTTTTCCGTCTTGAACGCAACAAAAAATCATATAACCTCCTTAAGAACATCTTGGAAGGCAATTTGTGTTCAAAATAAATATTGAAGTGCATTTTGCCTTGCTAGGCAGAAATCTGTTCGCACCTAGCCCTTCTCTGTCTCTCTACATTGAGCAGCATAATTACATCTCCAACCTGCTCAGGGGTCGCCAGCGCGAAGGACAGCAGCTCGCAAGCCTCAGTATTGAATGCAAGTCAGGCCATTGCTGTGGCGGTGGCGGCGGTGGTGGTGGTGGTGGTGGCAGTGGTGGCAGTGGTAGCAGTGGTAGTAGTAGTCACATGTCCAAGTCTTGCGTAGAAGTAGAGATGCGATTGCCATGCGCGAGAGTCCCAAAAACTAGTCACTGGTCTCTGATGCTGAAGTCCATGTGATTGTCTCGTCTGAGAAGCCTTCAAGGATGAACGTGTAAATGGCAGCCGCATGCTTTGCTCGCAGGTTAGCCGTCGCTGCAGTCGAGCCTCCCGAGGAGGTTGGAGGCTTCTATTACTCTACTGTAGTGGCACTCACTGGCATGGGGCCGTCACAGTTCAGCTGCTTTTGCCTCTTGCCCTTTGTCAAGGGTCAATCACGGCCACGTGCCCTTAAAAATACATGTGCGCACATATAAATATATATATATGATTAGTGGAGGGGAGACTGTTAGAAGCTCAATACATTGCCCCTGAAAACTTACTTCAGACTCCCGACCTGGCTTTCAGGCGCAAGCTGCTCAAAGGCTCCCTGGCCGGATCCCATGAACGATTTGGTGCATCAGTAGAAATGTGGCAAAGACCACGACAAAAACTGCTGTCCAATTACGCCACCCAGAAAACTCAGGGACCACACTGAGAGTTGAGCAAACTTGCAAGTCCCCTTCAGGCAAGTCTTCCAAGGACGCTTAGAATGGAAATGCCATAAACTCTTTGTCGCATCTTCATCCTTTGATCTCTTGTTGACCTGAAAGAGCTGCGTCAGCATCTCACAGAACCTGAAGAATTAGCTCAGAAGTATCTCCCCGTGTGGTGTCACCATCTCTCTTGCCCAAGGCAAGCACGGTCCTTTGGTGTAGTCAACGTTGATAGCCAGCTTAATCTGCGCAAAGGTGGCCAACTGGTTGTTCAGTCAGGTTCTGGGAACAAAGGGCACCGCTACTAGGAGCAAGGACGCTATTAGTAGCTCCTGGCATTACTACAAGTGACAAGAAGCTACTAGTAGCAAGGACGCAATTAGGTGGAGGCCATCGCAATTAGGTTGGAGGCCATCGCTACTAGTAACAAGAAGCTACTAGTTTCAACCTTCCTGACATTCTGAGATCCACACTAGCAGCTCCAACATCGACACATGAGTCAGGATCCGGGGCACCTCCAAGAATCAACAGCACTTGGGAGCTCAGGACTCAAAAGCATCCCTTCTCAATTGCAGCTTTAAAGGGGTCGTGTCTTCAAGTCTACCCATTCCGGCCCATTCTACGCCTCGCACAACTTTGGGATCATATCAGAATCTCTCAGCTGCGGCCGGTAAACCTTTGCGCAACGATGTGATGGAAAAGTGGCACCTGTTACTAGTAGTAAGGCACCTGTTACTACTAGCGTGGCACCTGTTACTACTAGCGTGGCACCTGTTACTAGTAGTAAGGCACCTGCTACTACTAGCGTGGCACCTGTTACTAGTAGTAAGGCACCTGTTACTACTAGCGTGGCACCTGTTACTAGTAGTAAGGCACCTGTTACTAGTAGTAAGGCACCTGTTACTACTAGCGTGGCAC